AAAAAAAAAGGTGGGGAGCAGGTTTGCTGGTCTGATAGAGCCTGGTGGAACCACTGAGACTATGGCCCCTAGGTGCCCTTCAGGTCTGGAATTGAACCCACACCTGTGGTTTCTAGCCAAACAAAATACAGGCATATGAGTTGAACATTTACCTCAAGCAGATACACTCCTTGGAGAGAACAATCATGGGAGAAAGAAGGGGTGCTTATGCACAGGGAGACAGCTGAGGGGGCAGGAGTGTATGGAGGGATGGACACTGGGAAGAGGTAACTATGGGGTGGAAGTAGAAGGGGAGCTGTTGCATTGTGGTAAACTATGGTCCATGACATGAGACAAAGTATATGTGAACTGCTGTATGGAAAGTGAATTTGCTCTGTAAATCTTCACCCAAATTACAATTAAAAAAAATTGTATTGTGGTGAACAAAACAACCTGCCATTTAAATCACATTTAAGTGTACAATTCATTGTTATTAACTACGCTCATGTTGGGTGACTATCATCACAGTCCATTTCCAAGTGTTCCATCCCCTGAACAGAAATTCAGTGGCTCTCTGCAGTCACTTCCAGTTCCCTGAGCTCCTGGCCACCACTGATGAATATGTGTCTTTGTGATCTGCCCATTCTGGATATTTCCTTAGGTGGGGTCATGCACTCACTAATTGCCCTCTTGTGTCTGGCTTACTCCATCCACCGCAATGTTGTCAGGGTTCGTCCACGTCGTAGCACAGAGCAGGGCTTCTCTTCTCTTTATGGCTGAGTAGCATTCTTTGTAGGCATGGACCACGTCTTGTTTATCCATCATCTGCTGGTGGCCACTTGGTTTATTTCCACCCTGTGCAGCAGTGAACACCAGTGTATGTGAATCTGAGTCCCTGCTCTCAAGTCTTTTGTGTTTATCCCGGCTATTTCTTGGTTTTAGCCTTCCTGCCCCCCGATACAGTCACAACCCAATTAGTGAGGCACACTCTCCAAAAGGATGAAAAGGGTGCCCCACACAAATCCAGAGGCACAGGAAGCTGCTCCCTCTACCCGAAGCTCACTTGAAATTCCTCCTAAAATGTATCTTGGCTGGAGAAGAAATGCTGAACTCATTTTCCAGTTTCTCCACCATTTGAGGCCATCAGAGCCTCGAGCCAGGATCAGTGCCCCGAGTCCAAGGACGCCAGCCAACTCGGGTTACAGAAAGGCTGCTCTGAGGAGTTTGTCCCAGGACACACCCTGCCTCTTGCTGGTGAACCCTTGCCACCCTTCCAGACAGATCCAGACACATTTGCAGCTCTGAGCCCCTCTGGCACTGGGCGCCCAAGCCAGAGGGAGACAGGGTTCCCAGTTGGCGCTGGGGCTGTGTGTCCTAGTCTGTGTTTCTCTCAAGATGTGAGCCCCTGGGAGGCCCTAGTGGCTCCTCATGGGAGCGGGGCATGCTGGGCCCCAGTGCATGCCTGTTGAGGCAGACCCTATGAAAAGGCAGAGGCCACGCTCAGCGCCGCTGGGCAGAGTTCTGATTAGCGAAGTTGGGTGAGGCATGCTACTGACATTAGGGTACAGGGGCCAGAGATGGTACTCAACCCTGCGATGCCCAGGACGTCCCTATTGCAGTCACCCTGCTCTATGGCAAGTTCTACACCTGGCAGTGGGGACAGGAAAGGAGAGACAGGAGTGAGGAGCCCCGACCTGGGCCATGGCCCCAGCGCCGGCAAACCTACAGCTTCCTGTGTACAGAGGCCACTGAGGTCAAGTCCCGGTTTTCACAGGGAGTTAGTGACATCTGCCACCACCCGCCGTGGGCGCCGTCCAAGAAGGAGTCCGACCCACCAAGAGGCACACGAATCCTGCGGAGGGTTTGGGGCCAGGAACAGCCGTCCTGGGCTCAGGTCGCAACACGGGACCACAGCTCTGGCCACGCGAGGCTTAAAGACGGGTGAACCCGCTGGCGAGGCGCTCTGCTCGGGTCTATCCCCCGCTGGGCTCTTGCATTTCGGCTGCTGCGCCGGCCCCTCGCGTCCCGGGAGCTCGGGTTTTCCCCTCTCACTGTCTCTCTACTCCTCCTCGGCGTCCCAGTCTGGCCACCCTGAGGCCACACACCCCCAGCGCTCTGCGCTTGGGACCCTGCCGCGGACTTCGGGCCCCTGCGCCCGGTTCCGGCGCGCGGGGGCGGGTCCGGGCTGGGGGGGCGGGCCCGGGCTGGGGGGCGGGACCTAGGGCGGGTCAGCCGGCCGGACTCCGCCCTCCAGCTGAGCCCGGACCGCCGACCGCGGACTCGCCAACTTCAGAGGCTCCGCGCGCGGCTCTAGTGGCTCCGGTGGCTCCGGCGGCTCCGGCGCGG